AAGAGTTCACAAATAAAATGTGAATCATTCAAGCTCGAGCCCTTTACACAAGTAATAAAGCAGGTCAATCGTTAAGTTCGTTCACAGCGAACTCTTTTGGCCATGATTGCAGTCGAATGCTGTATCACAGACCTGCTTGCTATTAATTTGGATTGTATAATTATGTATACATAGATGTAAATATAAATGCAGAATTTCAGTCACCACTTCGGTACACAAGACTTCAAATATATTAATTAATGCTGAGATGTCAGTTTTTAAAAAAAATCGTTATTTACAGTCATTAAATTGTTTAAGTGGGTATATAAAAAAATTAACTAGGAATATATACAATAAAACATTGAAGGCCTGTTTATAATATGTTGGCCATGTGACATATGGTTTACAAAACAAACCAAAAAAATTATTTTTTGGGGCTGTTTGTGTTTTCACTAAACAATGTTTTGGTCCATTAGTTTGCCACTGCCTTCTTAGCAGTCGGCCTTTGATACCACTGTGTGAAACCAACACATTACATCTGCTGCCATATGGCCCGTACTGGGATCGAACCCGGCACCTCAGACTCACAAAGCATGTTCACAATATCTGAGCCCTAGATGCCGACCACATATTTTAAAAGCCAAATTGGTACTAATGAGTGATGTGGCCAATATCATGCCAACCACCTTTACTTCCCAGCACATTTCTTAGTACACATTTAGATTGGGATGACCTGGAAGCGCAGATAAATTAAAAGAAAAAAATATTGGTCATGAAGCAACATCATTAAACAAATAGTCATTAAATAGTTTTTTTGGCTACAGAACTGTAAATATTTTTTAATCTGTCAATTTACTTAATAATGTTTAATAACAAATTTTAATAACGAAACTTAGAAACCAAAATGTCTTAATAATGCTTAATAACAAAGTACATAAAGACAATTTACAATTCAATGTCACACACAGCAACAAAGAGCTTACAAAGGCAGATAACACAGCCCTGCCAAAAATAAAATGCTGGTGGGGTGCCAAACATTTTATATCTGATTTTGCATAAGCAAGGCCTGCTACATACAATACTATTGGTCTGTAGCAGCTTTAGTTTTTCAGATACAGGCATTCATGTATTTGATATTTTTTAATTTTCTGCACAGGGCTTTTGTATAGAGTTCTGAAAAAGGAAAAAAAAAAAAAAACTACTGCTGTCTAGTCCCTTATGAAATGAAACTGCTTGTTTATGTTCAGTTTTCCAAGAAGGGCGCACAACCCTAAGCGATTTAATGTATTCCTGTGTGTAACTGTATCCTTGTCACTTTGTATTATATGCTGATGAAGGCTTTCTAGCCGCAATGTTCATTTTGCTGTTTGTGACTGCGGTATTGTGAATACTTCTTGTATGGAGTAACATCATTTTATGATAAATCTACTGCTCACATGCTATATTCTGAAATGGATTCATTGCATGCTTGAACGTTTATTCTTGAAATCATCATGTAAAATAGAGGTTCTGACAGATGCTCGAGGCTCAGAGAAAAAAGCAAGACAGACGTTTAATAAGAATGCTACTGACACCATTAGTATCGGAACTCTTCGCTGGCTGCTGAAGATGGGGACAAAGCGCGTATGGAAAAGTCCCGAGTGCATGTGATGTCGGTTCTTGAATCAACTCAACTCATCATGTTAAATAGTGGCTATTTGCTTAAGCTCATATTTGGAGAGTTAAGAGTAACAACTACTTGTGTTAGAGAGAATAAATTTAGCAGGTTAAAAAAGACATTAAATCATTTTGAACCAGTCATTACCACGATAATTATACACCTTCCTTAACTTCTATCTAATCTAGTCCTAACACTTACTCTATTCATTTACGTCCTTCTTAGGACGTAATTTTTTGTTATTTGAAGCCCCACTCTGGCTTTTGCCAGGGGCCGCAATATAGGCAGGTCATTATTATGGCCAAATGTCTGAACGCGGTTTCTGGGACCTCTCCACGGTGATCCTCATCCGCATGGTGGCACTTTGTGTCATCGGGTGTTTATCGCTTGTGTGATGTCCTGGTGGGGTAGAAAGTCAGTCAGTCAGTCAGTCCTAACACAAATGCATCATGTTCTAACTGCCTCTTTAATCCTTCTGATGGCTGCCTTATGCATTTAAAGTGTGTGCATGCTACTGGGTCTGCAGGGACCACAATCCATGTCAATTTTTCCACAATGGACAGTGATAGGCATTCTGTATGTTTTGTCACTGGCATAGGAATGTCCCATATATGGGGTGACCTATTTGCTGTCATGTTAGAACTGCCAAGAACTGATTACCCTTTTCCCAAAAAAAGTTTATTATGATAAGAAATATACAAACATAACATATTCAATATGACCAATGCTTAGTAAACAACAAGTTAAAACAGTAGCTGCTGTCTGCAGCTGAAACAGTTAAACAAAAAAGATAAATGTAGTCCCACAGCATTTACTGTTGCTGAGGTCTGAAGTGTTAGGCTTTCACATATTCTAGGTACTGATATACAAAGTGGATAATAAGGCTTTCACATATTCTAGGCCCTCATATGCAACGTGGAGTGTTATGCTTTCACATAATCTAGGCCCTGATATGCAATATAGAGTATTAGGCTTTCACATAATCTAGGCCCTGATATACAAAGTGAAGTGTTAGGCTTTTACATATTTTAGGCCCTGACATGCAACATGAAGTGTTAGGCTTTCACATATTTTAGCTACTGATATACAAAGTGGATAATAAGGCTTTCACATATTCTAGGCCCTCATATGCAACGTGGAGTGTTATGCTTTCACATAATCTAGGCCCTGATATGCAATGTAGCCCTGATATGCAATGTAGAGTGTTAGGCTTTCACATAATCTAGGCCCTGATATACAAAGTGAAGTGTTAGGCTTTTACATATTTTAGGCCCTGACATGCAACATGAAGTGTTAGGCTTGCACATATTCTAGGCCCTGATATGCAACGTGGATTATTAGGCTTTCACATAATCTAGGCCCTGATATACAAAGTGGAGTGGCTTTCCCATATTCTAGGCCCTGATATTCAAAGCACAGTGGTAGGCATTTACATATTTTAGGCCCTGATATTCAAAGTGGAGTGTTAGGCTTTCACATATTTAGGCCCTGATATACAAAGTGGAGTCTAGGCTCTGTTATACAAAGTGGAGTGTTAGGCTTTAACATATTTTAGGCCCTGATATACAAAGTGGAGTGTTAGGCTTTCACATATTCTAGGCTCAGATATACAAAGTGGAGAATTAGGCTTTCATGTATTTTATGTCCTGATATACAAAGTGGAGTGTTTGGCTTTCCCATATTCTAGGCCCTGATATACAAAGTGAAGTGGTAGGCCCTGTTATAAAAAGTAGAGTGTTTGTTTTTCACATATTCAAGGCCCTGAAATGCAAAGTGGAGTGTTAGGCTTTTACATATTTTAGGCCCTGATATACAAAGTTGAGTGTTTGACTTTCATATATTCTAGGCCCTGATATACAAAGTGAAGTGGTAGGTGCTTACATATTTTAGGCCCTGTTATAAAAAGTAGAGTGTTTGTTTTTCACATATTCTTGATATGCAAAGTGGAGTGTAAGGCTTTTACATATTTTAGGCCCTGATATACAAAGTGGAGTGTTTGACTTTAATATATTTTAGGCCCTGATATACAAAGTGGTGTGTTTAGCTTTCACATATTCTAGGTGCTGAAATACAAAGTGGAGTTTAAGCCACTGATATACAAAGTGGAGTCTAGGCCCTGAGTTATAAAGTTGAATCATCAGTTCCATTTTCTTCTTTCTTTCTCATGAAAGTGGAAGCCATTTCTATGAGACTAGGTCAAGCCCAGAGCCGCACTGGTCAGGGAAAAAAAAAAGATTCTGACACTGTTGGAAATTGAACCTGGAACTCATATCATGGCAAACCACTGCACTAACCACTATACCATGGCTATTCAACTGGCAGCCTGCAGGCCAAATGTGGCTAGCAGAGGCCTAGCAAGTGACCAGCAGATCATTTCCAGATGTATTGTATTATTGATCTTTCTATGATGAGGCTCAAGGCCTCTCTGGCCAGTAACGCTCCTACTTTTCAACACTCAGTTCCCGAGTGAACTTAATTGAATAGTCACTGCACTATACTACAATGGCTTCTGAAGAGTATATTACTTTCAAAAAATGGTTTAATGACAGCAAAGACCAAAGAAATTAGGAAACAAGGAACCAAACTATACTCTGCCATTATTTTTACAGGTCACTATGCTCCACATACTTTTTTTTTTAAACAAGACTCAAAAGGTAAATAAAAAAACCCACCAAACTATACTCCACTGTACTTTTCTACACAGCTCTAAGGTAAATAAAATAACCAAACTATACTCCACTGTACTTTTCTACACAGCTCTAAGGTAAATAAAATAACCAAACTATACTCCACTGTAATTTTCTACACAGCTCTAAGGTAAATAAAATAACCAAACTATACTCCACTGTACTTTTCTACACAGCTCTAAGGTAAATAAAATAACCAAACTATACTCCACTGTACTTTTCTACATTGCACTAAGGTAAATAAAATAACCAAACTATACTCCAGTGTACTTTTTACATGTAGCTACAGCTAGGAAACAATTAACTAGACTTATACATTTAGATCTTACAAAAGTTCATAAACAAGTAGCCAAAACATACTGTAATATACTGTTACATGTGCCTAAGGCTAATAATCAGGTTATCAAACTATACTCTGCTATACTCATTGCATCTTCCTCAAGTTAATAAGTAAGTAACAAAACTATACACCAATATCCTGTTTATATCTTCCTAAGTTTTTAACTAAGCTTAATAAAGTAACGAAACAAAACTCAGCAATACTTTTTAAATATCCCTAAGATGAACAAACAAGTAACCAAACAATACTTTTTTACTCATCCCTGCCACACATACTACATAGTTACATTTGTTACACAGATGAATCTCCACACAAACATACACAGCTGCAGCCAAAACTAGCTGTTGGACTCATGTTTGAGTGTAGCTACAATACTTTCATGTGTTTCGTACAGTTCACTTATCTTGGCACCCAATATTTCCTGCAGCCTTAAGATTTCCCTTTGCTCCTGCTCTGCCTGTGTCCTTGATTCCTGAAGCTGCCTTTGAGAATCCTGGAGTTTTAAGCTGAGGGACTGGTTTTCACCCTCTAATGACTGGAGATGAGCAAACAGAAAGAAAAAGACATTTTTTACTTAAAAAAAAGAAGTTAACAGATTTAATTTAAAAAATAAAAACTATCAATTATTTAAAATTATGAGAAAATGTAAAACTAGAATAAATTTGTAACAGTATAGTAGTAGTAGAGATAGGCATAAAACTGCAAAAGTTAAGTAAAAAAGTAAAACTAGCAAAAAATTGTAAAAGTAAAAAAAAAAAAAAAAACGTTAAACTAGCATAAAATTGTAAAATTAAAGTAGAAGATGTAAAACTAGCATAAAATTGTACAATTAAAGTAGAAGATGTAAAACTAGCATAAGTAGAGGACATTTGCTTGTTATGGCAGTGCTGCATCAGGCATATGATTGATGCTAAACTCAATTTTTTTAATGACCAACTGGCACTCAGTGGGTGATAGCTTCAACATCATGCCAATCGCCTTACTTCTCAGGATATTACCTGGCAACCATTTTAGGCCGGGTCAATGTGGGAACACAGGTCAATGAAGAAAACATCTGTCTACGCAGATTTGAACCTAAGTACACTGGGCTGGTAGGCTATTATGCTAATCCGGCTCCCAGAAGAAGTATTTGACAAAGTAAAACCCCATAAAACACCTGAATTCACCAGGTGCAACTCCCACAGGTTAAACTTGCTGCAGTATCATGAATACTTGTCACCATGCATTATCTCTGTACTTACTACACTGCTAAAATAAGTTTAATTATCATTTTTATTGTCATGGTTGTTGCATACAGAGACAAAGGCAGTTAACAGACAAACAAAAAACTGTACACAAACGAGTTAAATGGCAGTAGATCATGAGGCAGACCAAGAAGAAAAAGGTGAAGAGATAATATACATGCAGACCTACAGACACTTGGAGTCATTAACTGGAAACAAAAACACTAATCAGACAGATGAATGGAAAGCAATTAATAAATGCAAGTAATTAACCTAAAGGGCTCAGAACATTGAAGAGGAAGAAGATCATTTTCGTTTGCCTGTGGTGGAATACCAAAGGAAATCAACACAAACATAATTCCAACTTCCCTTCAAATGTGACACATACCTTGATTCTTGCTTGCAATGCTGAGCTCTGACCCTCGGATGCTTTCAATTCTTCAATCTGAGCACTCAGCCTTTGTATTTCCTAAAAGAATTTTAACAAACGTGTGAATGCTTTCCTTTTCATTATGGTTCAGACACTGAAATCAAGGGAAGAAATTCTGCTTTTTCTCATGATCACTATTGACATCTGCTAAGTTACAGGTAAACTTCTAAATGGTGAGCTACAGGTAAACTACTACATGGTGAGCTACAGGTAAACTACTACATGGTGAGCTACAGATAAACTACAACATGGTGAGATACAGGTAAACTACAACATGGTGAGCTACAGATAAACTACAACATGGTAAGCTACAGGTAAACTACTACATGGTGAGCTACAGGTAAACTACTACATGGTAAGCTACAGGTAAACTACTACATGGTAAGCTACAGGTAAACTACTACATGGTAAGCTAGAGGTAAATGACTACATGGTAAGCTAGGTAAACTACTGCATGGTAAGCTACAGGTAAATTAAACTACTACATGGTGAGATACAGGTAAACTACTACAAGGTAAGCTACAGGTAAACTACTACATGGTAAGCTACAGGTAAACTACTACATGGTGAGCTACAGGTAAACTACTACATGGTAAGCTACAGGAAAACTACTTCATGGTGAGCTACAGGCAAACTACAACATGGTGAGCTACAGGTAAACTACTACATGGTAAGCTACAAGTAAACTACTACATGGTGAGCTACAGGTAAACTACTACATGGTGAGCTACAGGTAAACTACTACATGGTGAGCTACAGGTAAACTACTACATGGTGAGCTACAGGTAAACTACTACATGGTGAGCTACAGGTAAACTACTACATGGTAAGCTACAGGTAAACTACTACATGGTGAGATATAGGTAAACTACTACATGATAAGCTACAGGTAAAGTACTACATGGTGAGCTACAGGTAAACTATAACATGGTGAGCTACAGGTAAACTACAACATGGTGAGCTACAGGTAAACTACTACATGGTGAGCTACAGGTAAACTACTACATGGTGAGCTACAGGTAAACCACTACATGGTGAGCTACAGGTAAACTACTACATGGTGAGCTACAGGCAAACTACAACATGGCGAGCTACAGGTAAACTACTACATGGTGAGCTACAGGTAAACTACAACATGGTGAGCTACAGGTAAACTACAACATGGCGAGCTACAGGTAATCTACAACATGGCAAGCTACAGGTAAACTAAAACATGGTGAGCTACAGGTAAACTACTACATGGTAAGCTACAGGTAAACTACTACATGGTAAGCTACAGGTAAACTACAACATGGTGAGCTACAGGCAAACTACAACATGGTAAGCTACAGGTAAACTACTACATGGTGAGCTATAAGTAAACTACTACATGGTGAGCTATAAGTAAACTACTACATGGTGAACTACAGGTAAACTACTACATGATGAGCTACAGGTAAACTACTACATGGTAAGCTACAGGTAAACTACTACATGGTAAACTACAGGTAAACTACTACATGGTAAGCTACAGGTAAACTACTACATGGTGAGATATAGGTAAACTACTACATGATAAGCTACAGGTAAACTACTACATGGTAAGCTACAGGTAAACTACTACATGGTAAGCTACAGGTAAACTACAACATGGTAAGCTACAGGTAAACTACTACATGGTGAGCTACAGGTAAACTACTACATGGTGAGCTACAGGTAAACTACTACATGGTGAGCTACAGGTAAACTACTACATGGTAAGCTACAAGTAAACTACTACATGGTAAGCTACAGGAAAACTACTACATGGTAAGCTACAGGTAAACTACTACATGGTAAGCTACAGGTAAACTATAACATGGTGAGCTACAGGTAAACTACAACATGGTGAGCTACAGGTAAACTACTACATGGTGAGCTACAGGTAAACTACTACATGGTAAGCTACAGGTAAACTACTACATGGTAAGCTACAGGTAAACTACTACATGGTAAGCTACAGGTAAACTACTACATGGTGAGCTACAGGTAAACTACTACATGGTGAGCTACAGGTAAACTACTACATGGTGAGCTATAAGTAAACTACTACATGGTAAGCTACAGGTAAACTACAACATGGTGAGCTACAGGTAAACTACTACATGGTGAGCTACAGGTAAACTACTACATGGTAAGCTACAGGTAAACTACTACATGGTAAGCTACAGGTAAACTACTACATGGTAAGCTACAGGTAAACTACTACATGGTGAGCTACAGGTAAACTACTACATGGTGAGCTACAGGTAAACTACTACATGGTGAGCTATAAGTAAACTACTACATGGTAAGCTACAGGTAAACTACAACATGGTGAGCTACAGGTAAACTACTACATGGTGAGCTACAGGTAAACTACTACATGGTAAGCTACAGGTAAACTACTACATGGTAAGCTACAGGTAAACTACTACATGGTGAGCTACAGGTAAACTACTACATGGTGAGCTACAGGTAAACTACTACATGGTAAGCTACAGGTAAACTACTACATGGTGAGCTACAGGTAAACTACTACATGGTGAGCTAAGGTAAACTACTACATGGTAAGCTACAGGTAAACTACTACATGGTGAGCTACAGGTAAACTACTACATGGTAAGCTACAGGTAAACTACTACATGGTAAGCTACAGGTAAACTACTACATGGTAAGCTACAGGTAAACTACTACATGGTGAGCTATAGGTAAAACACTACATGGTAAGCTACAGGTAATGGTCAGCTGCAGGTAAAATACTACATGGTAAGCTACAGTTAAATTACTACATGGTGAGCTACAGGTACATTACTACATGGTAAACTACAGCTAAATTACTATATGATAAGTGACAGGTACAGATAACTTACCATATGGTAAGCTACAGGTAAATTACCACACAAGCTACAGGTAAATTACTACATGTAAACTACAGGTAAACCACTACATCAGGGCAATTCAACTAAGTTTACTCAAGGGCCACAATTCTGAAAATGGAGATTACCACAGGCCAGAAGCCCAGCCCGCACCATAGAAAGACCAGTAACACAATACAACTAGCAATGATCCACAGGCAACTTGCTAGGCCTCCATGGGCCGCCAACTGAATAGTCCTGCACTACATAGTAGTCCACAAGTAAGCCAGTACACTGTAGTCCACAAGTTAACCACTACATAGTAGTCCACAAGTAAGCCAGTACACGGTAGTCCACAAGTTAACCACTACATAGTAGTCCACAAGTAAGCCAGTACTTGGTAAACTACAGTTAATCTAATACAAGTAAACCACTACATGATAAGGTCAACTACCACACAGTATACTACACATCAACCACTACATAGTAAAATATAATTACATCACTACTTGGCAAGCTAAGAGTAAACTAATGAATAATACTTGGAGGACTTTGGGGACAGTGAATCTACATCACGCGCCAGAATGATAGACTTGGAGTTGAGATCAGCATAGCAAAAAACGAGACGCACAACAGGCACATCAAAGGACTTGTTAATTAATCAACACAGAACTGGTACTTTTGGCCATTGGACACCAGGGTTCCGATTGAGGGGAGAGACAGAACCCTATGGACATGCCCAGAGTGCAATGATGATAACTCAAGTAACTAACTAACTAATGAATAATAACCTACAGTTAAACTAGGTAAACTACCACATGATAAGCTAAAGATAATCTACAGCAAGTACACCACTAGATAGTAAACTTCTGCATTGTAAACTTCAAGTCAACAGTACCTCTTGTTTGCTATGATATTCATGTCTGAGTCTCTCTAACTGCTCAGTCAGTTGGGCTACCTTGTGAGAGTTCTCTGCTCCACCACTACCACCTTTATCCACCTCCAGTAACTGAAACAGAATAGAATACCATAAGTGCAGACTCCCACATGAAGCAAAGAATATTATATCATTAGTGAGTTATACCACATGCTGCATATGGAGTATCCACTGGTGTATCCACTGCAGCTGCCATAATTATAGTTTCTTTGGAGGTTGAACAGGATTTTGGGGATCTACCTTGTTGGTCTGCCATCCAGATGGAGGTTCTTTAAAATAAGAATGGTATGGTAAACCTTTAGATAGCAGCCCGGAGGGTAAAAACTAGTCGATCGATCAATAACTGGCTCTTCTCAAAGGATATCTAGACAGATCAAAACATACAAATTTAATGTCTAATAGATATGAGGAAGATGTGAAAAGGAACTACAAAATACTACATAAATAATATGAAGATTCCAAATATTATGATGGTCTTCCCCGTGGGAGTTGGCATATGTGGCTTAGGCGTTGTAAACGTGCTTTGTAATGTCAGGGTGCTGGGTTCTATTCCAGCAGTGGACAATTTGTCTTGCGTTGATTTTGACTGTGGTACCGAGAGCTGACCGTTCATTAAGCAATGGCAAGCTAATGAAGCAAAATTTGCCTAGAAAAACCATGACAGCCAAAAAATGCTGGGGTTCATTCTGCAACGTCCTGTAAAGTATACACAACTTCCCCATTTGAGTTTGTGCTAAAATGTTACATAAAACCTGTTCTGCTGTATGGCAGTGAATCTTGGAATGTCAGTGAACAAATTTGGAAGCAACAAAGGTGTGGTTTCTGAGACAAATGTTATGAATACCTTGGACGGCCAGAGTAACTAACAACGATTGCTTGAAAGAAGCAAATGAAAGTAAATCTCTATATACAACAATAAGAAAGAGACAAACACTGTTCTTTGGCCACATAATGAGAAGAGAGAAATTGGAAAACATCGTGACAACTGGAAAGATCAGTGGAAAAAGGATAGAGGCAGACCAAGAGAGATGATGGTGGATGGGTTGAAACGATGGCATGGAATGATATCATCAAGAGAGCTGTTCCAGGCAACCAGGGAGCGTGATCTGTGGAGATGCATGAGCGCCTACCCTAGTTGGCAGGGCACATGATGATGATGATGATGAGTTTGTTGTCAGAGAACTAGTGGTTCCTTAAGCAATAAACTGTGTATGAACTACTGATCCATTGTAACTGCTGCTTGAATCTATGATGAACTGCGTTTCTAGTGTCAGACTGTGTGTGTTGCCACTTCTGATGGCTGCCTTATACATTTAGGGCATGTGTATGCTATTGGCTTTGCTGAGATTGCAGTCTATCAATTTTTTCCACAGGGCACAGTGATGGACACTGGAACAGAACAACTAGTGACACAGGTTGCAGCACTCCCTAAGTGGGTTGTGTGTTAGACCTAATTTCTGCATGTTTTTGTGGAGTTAAAAGCGCTAGCATGCTGAAATAAAGAACAAGTGATATAAACGGCAGTGGGCAACACCCCCTTCACCTTGTGCCAAGGTCGGGTGACTCAAGGTCGACTAATCAGAAGTGAGCCAGTAGTGTGTATATGGGCGGTCTCTGGAGGAAAAAAAAGGGAGGGAGGGGGAAGAAATATCGTGGAACTAACCAAAGTTGGAACTGCAATTCCCATTACTTGTTTACACATCTCTCGATGTTATCCTTCACCTATATCAATGCCTATGATACAGACTGACTGGGACTATAAATAATAGTGCAACAACATAACCCATGGCCGTGCTAACCTTTTTCTTGAGCCTCACATTCTCATCCTTGTAGGCTGCCAGTTGCTTCTTCCATTCATCCACATTGGATGTGCTCTCTTGTAAAGCTGTAGTCAGCCTGGCATTGTTGTTTTTCAACGTCTGCAACTCCACTTCCCATTTCTTTGCATTTGCTGAGCTGTAGAGAAGGCAAGAAACAATATGAGAGTGCTGTTTGGCATAAGTTTAACATTCAGAACTTAAAATGACCTATAAGACCCATCAAGTTTTACAGTCAGAACTTAAAATGACCTATACATTCTCAATCACAAGATAAAAACTACAGTTATTCTTCAACAATTGACAACATCTATGTAGAATTAAACTCCTAGCATTTTTCATCTTCAACCCTTAATTTAAATATTACATGATGCAGATATGTGAATTCTGAACAAACAAGAAGAAGTAAAAAGGTAAAGATCCCTCTTTACGCCTTTAGGCGCATCAGGCATATGGGAAGAGCACCCTTATTTTAACAGACCAAGGTGGGTAATGTGGTCAGCATTACACTGGCGGTCTTTACTTCCCCAGGACAGCCATCCTGGTACCCATTCGAGGCTGAGTCGACCTGCGACGCCCCATACCATAATAAAAATTCACACAGCTAGCAGTGGGTTTCGATCATGGTTTGTTGGAATTACAAGTCGGACTCGCAACACTTGAGCCACGGGCAAAAAAAAAAAGTTACTGCTGTTGAAATATTAGCAATTAAAAAAAAAAAGAAAGAAAAAAAAAGAAGAAACTGAAAAGTAATCTGAACGCAACAGGTTCAAATCCTGGTATAAAATCTATAATTTTCAATCTGTATGTTGACTTCTTTCCCACATCTATGAATCTCAAAAAACATATGTCAATTTGTTGGTCATATTTATGTGTTTGTGTTAACTGCCTTAAGCATTTGTCCAGTAAACCTTCTGGGGGAAAAAAAGCCCAGAACCCAGGTTTCACACACTGTAATCTGAACGCAACAGGTTCAAATCCTGGTATGAAATCTAGAATTTTCAATCTGTATGTTGACTTCTTTCCCACATCTATGAATCTCAAAAAACATATGTCAATTTGTTGGTCATATTTATGTGTTTGTGTTAACTGCCTTAAGCATTTGTCCAGTAAACCTTCTGGGGGAAAAAAAGCCCAGAACCCAGGTTTCACACACACAAAACAATCTTGAAAAATGTAGTTTGACGCAGGTCACTAATGTTCATTTAAAAAACAAACAAAAAATGGGCAGGTGGTGGTGGGGGGGGGGGGGGGGGGGTGTACAGGAGGAGACGTAATCAATAAACATGAACAGGAAGAAAAATTAAATAGATTACATTCTTTTGCAGTCTAAATAATGTATTGGATAAGTCACACCATGACCTCTGACCCAGTTGGTATGCTAACACTAAGGCTAAGGGGCAAATTATAACATTAGAATGGTAATTCTACAAATAAACGCAATTGTATTCATAACTCTGCTTTTTTTTAAGCGAATATAATCATATCAGGGCCTGCTAAACTCTGTGCAGATGCAAACAGAATCAATTGCATTAACAAGATAGTATCTGGGACTGCCCAATTCAGCAATGCTAATTCAGTGGGAGTTACAAGGGTTTATAACAGATGCAGATGTTGAAACAGCATCACTACAGGGCTTAAGGATTGAAACTGCAATGCTCATATTTCAACGTTGTAATCCATCACTGCTCACCTCTGTGCAAGCGCTAGCTTCAATCGGTCGTTCTCATACTTCAGCTGTGCTTCTGTGGATGTGCTGGATGGAAGGTCATTATTACCTCCTTGTGTGAAAGAATTTCTCCGCTCTCTCAAATTACCAACATCAGTCTGCAAATTTTAAAAAAAGCTTCAGTTTTTCTATCATCATTCACAGAAAAAGATGTTAATATTTTATATTCTAAGACAGATAGGTATACATCTGAGTTGATAGTTTGTTAAACAATTCTCTCAGTTTGTTAAAATTTACAAGAAAAAGACAATAGATCATTCATTCCAAAGTAAAATATGAAATTCCTAGTGTGGGTGATAGGGCTCCATCTTGGGAGGGGGTGGGGGATTGGGGGGGGGGGGAGGGGAATAGATCCACTGTCTCTTTAACAAGCATGTCATACAAAGCGACCAATAGGGATGTTTCCTTTGAAATAGGAGTGCATCTACATGGGAGGTGAGGAACCAACCGTCTGCATACAAATAAGTCAGATATGTCAAATGAATGTGCACGCAAAAGTCAAGTTCTGGAACAAGGCCAAGGTCAAGAAATGGATGACAACCAGAACTTTTTACAGTCGGCAAATGCTAAAAAAGAAGAAAAATTATGAAATATGGTAGATTATAGGTTCAGATACCCAGGAAAAAATGGATAGATGGAGTAGCTGAATACGGCCAGAAGATCCAGAAAACTGTCACTCAGATCACGCGAGAGGCACAAAACAAATATTTTAAACCACGACACTGGGCTGCAACCCGGTAAAAGTGAAGAACACGATAGATAGATAGGTTCAGATAGTTTCTTCTCCTGCATTCAACCTGAAAAGGGTGGTAGGTCAGTTGTATAGTGGTTGACAGCTAGCCTGTGTGTGACATCTGCACATTTCAGCCCCAGCATATCTGATTTGAGCAAACTCTATCAGTTGCCTTGTACGACATGCCTTTTAGGGAGATTTCAGTCTATCCATAAGAATGATCTGATGTGTCAAGAGTTAACCTTTCTGTAAGAATGACCTGGTCTGTCAAGATGGACTTGACCAATCAAGACTCTACAAATCAGTAGCACCGGGATCTTAAGCAGAAACTTGTCTGGTAATGGAACAATGAAACATCAAGGTTGCATGGTACCTGTATGGAAGAAAGGCTGCTGGTCCGCTGGTGAAGGTTCTGATTTTTTGACTGTGTCAGGATGTGACTGTCCACACCGCCATTTGTTTCCATCTGCTTCAGCTGGGTCTGGGCTGCCTGTCTGGTCAGCTCCTTCACCTCCTTGAACTTTTCTATGAACTGAAATCATTTTTGAGAGGAAAACAGACTGCAATTAAGGGATAAGTAACTTGACAGAACATAAACAAAGATAAGAAGCTCAGCTACAGACACCCAATTGATGTTATTTACAGGTGGAGGGGGGGTTAAACTTAAAATGGCAGTTGGCATGTTGTGTTGTAGTTTACACTTTATCTTCTGCCTTTCTAATCCTAATGGAGCACAGGCCCTTAACCAACCCATGCCAAGTTGTTCTATCCTTCGCATAGCATGCAGCTCTCCCCATTTCATCCCTATCTTTTTTTAACTTCACTTTCTAGCTCCCTTCTCCATGTGTTTTTCCCCCCCTTTTTTCTATGCCCCAGTGGGTTCCAGTGCAAAGACATTCTACTTGTACTCAGGTTTTCTAACATGTGTCCTATCCAATGTCAGTGTCTTTTCTTCACTTCCTAGTTCCCTGGAACTTGTTTAGTTCTCCCTGGTCTACACTAGGCTATGATTTTTGAGCCTTTCAGCTCAACCCAATCAAATTTATCAAATCCCTAATTGCCGCCTTTGATGACAGGGTTTTAAACTCTTTCAGTCCCAGGTACATGCTATTTTAACTCATTATGACATAAAAACATTCTTACTTTAACAAATAAATATTTCTACCCAAACTAATTAAAACACAAACACTATTCCCTGTGTGGGTGCCCGTGCCCCATTGTAGGTAAAACAAGAATGGATACATTGCCTTTCACAACAATCATGTCGTAGCAGTCGACTAGTTGGGGGACCCATTTAAAGTTGGACTGCACCTGCCTGAAAAGCAAGGAGCCAACATTCTGCAAGAAAATGAGTCAAATCTGCAAAACAGATGCGCATGCAAGATGCAACACTCAGCTTCTGGGACAAGTCTGAAGTCCAGAGGTGGATGAACAACTAGAACTTTCCCCCTGAATTTTAGGTCAGTGAATGTGAAGAAGAAGTAGAAGACAAACACTATGTGATAGAAAGGGTTAAAGTAACTACAGGTACTGATGTAGTTGGTGTAATAACTAAATGGTGCAGAAGGAGTTAAAGAAATTAAAGCATACAAGCACAGACCAACACAGGCATGGTTAGGTTGCTTGGGACTAAAAGAGTTAAGGGGTTGTGGATATTTTCTCCACTTTCCCAAAATGCAAACATGGAAACCCACAAGGAGAAATTCAGTCATTACTTTTGATGTAACTAAGAGAACCGCAACTATATACATTTTTTTCTGCAGTTTATCCCCATATGGAGCACAAGCTCTCAACCAGCACTTGCTAAGTCGACCTGTCTTTCACAATTGTGTGTAGCACACAGTATTTTTTTTCCATTTCTTTAGGTTGCTCAAATTGGTCTGGTTTTTGTGTGGCTATAGTGTTTCTATGGAGAAGATGCTGGACAGTTCAACATCATGGCATCTACCAAGCATGTCAGACAAGGCAACTAATAAGGGATATTTCCTTCAGTCAGAGTGCATCTGTCTGTGACGCAAGGAACCAACAGCCTGCATACAAATAAGCCAGATCTGTGAAACAGATGTGCATGCAAAATACAAGTTCTGGAACAGGGCCAAAAGTTCAGAAGTGAACAACCAACCAGACCTATAAAGGTCATTCACAACCATCTAAAAACCATAATTATATCATTTGAGACCTTCAAAGCTTTATCTTTATTAGTCAAGTCACCTTGGTGAGCTCCTGTTCCGAGGGAAATCCTAGACCATAGACAGTATTTGCCCTGGCATCTGACCACTGGCCAAACTTCTGGGATGTTTTGGTGAAGGTCATGTTTGGGGTGATGGTGCTGTTGACAATAGCCTGCAAACAAAGAATTTATTGGAAGGTTAGAAGGTAAACAAATGATGAGTGAAAACATCCACAGAATGTTCTCCTGTGCCCCTCCAAACTCCTATCACTTGGAATCCGCCTTTATCTGAAATAAAATGATCTTGGCTCTGAAGTAGATCCAGCCTTGAGTAGGTAGCAGGTGCAGTCCTGGGAAGTAAAGATGGCCAGCACGATGCTGGCCCACATCACCCACCAAGTGTTGATAGGTCTATAAAATATAGGTCTACCCCTATGTGCCAGAGTGCATAAATATGTGGAAAAGAGTCCTTTGCTATCCTCCGAATAACGGTCCTAAATTATCAAGGCCAAAAATATACTCTTAACAGGGACTCAGTCACATGTAAACTGCGGACCTCTTCCGACAACCACACAGCATACGGCGGAAAAGCTTCCGCCGAGTTAAAGTCACCGCCGAGAGTATCTCCCGCGCCGCTAAACTAAATGGCTGGGACTCACAAGCAGCAGCTACTGCATCTCCTGTAACTTCCTTCATTTTATTTGCTCGTGAGTCCGAGCCATCTAGTCTCTCAGCTGTATTGCTGTGTAGTCGCCGGAAAAGGTCCGCAATTTATATGCGACTGAGGCCCTGTTAGGGTATATTTTCAGCCTCGATAATTTGGGACCATTATTCGGAGGATAGCCAGGGTCCTTTACTTTAAAAATAAACTTTTTAAAATCTTACATTTTGTTTTCTGCAGAGCAAACAATGCAGAAAAACTACATCTAAAGAGATAAATACATTTAAAAATTAGGACTGTCAAATATGCACTCAACCTTGGTATGAATAATAACTCATTGAATTATGAGTGAGGGACAGATATCAGTGCACTTAGGATATTCCCATAAATGCTCTGTCCCTATTTTCAGCAGCATGTGTAGAGTTGGAATACCCAATGCACCAGTAACAGTTTTGCTTCTTCCCTGAGAACTGAACATCAACAAGATCCCCTGGTCACTCACTCTTCGCTGTACCAATTGTCTTTAGACCATGAGATGATCTCTGCACTGTTTATCCACTCCCAAAGGGCCATAACCAAATCTAGCTTGTCATGTATCAATTTGCCACCAAGTTGTGTAGAACCATCCAGTCTATCTATCCTTTTATTTCCCAACATACAGCATAACTTTAAGATCAAAAGTGGCATATAATGGTAGAAACCTGGGGTGATGAAGACAGATATACAGCTAGATGGCTTGTCCACATGATATAAGAATGCAACAACAAAGACCCGATGCATGTTGTTTGCAACCTTGTCAAACAGACGACAGAGCAGCTACTGACCTAGAGGTTAGGAACACTGGCAGAACTATGTGGCAGACCCAGGTTTGAATCCTTGGAAGGTTATGGGTTATTTTCCATCAGAGATCATACCCCCCCCCCCCCCCCCCCCCCCCCACCCCCCTTCCCCCCAAAAAAACTTGTGGCCCGATTTCCTCAGGCTCAAAGACTTCCTAGCTACACAGCAAGAGAGATAAGCACAGGCAGTAATGGCACGTTTCTATTTGGTTTATTTTAGCAGTCAGATAAAATATGACTCCATAAACTCATGGTATGGCACATAATGATGACGGCACAATTACAAGGTAAAGATCTGCTTACTTTTGAACCATCAACACTGATAATTCTGTAGGTGTTCCGAATACTGTCAAAGTAGAAAGAGACACTGACGGCACTTTTGCTTGCAGGAATCCAGTCTTTCTTGGTGTTGCCATCGATCTGGAACACATGTGCCTTGGTGGTGAAGATGGGCTGCTCCCTGCAAAAGAGTCAAAACATTTTACAGTGACAGCTGTCCTAAATCAGGATCGCTAACTAGGCTGAAATTAAAGTCAAGAGTAACGTCGCCACTGCACCGGGTTTTGTCCCATAGGGCTTGGTTTCTCAATGCAGAATGACCAAGCCCCCTGCAGAAAACGTCACACAAAGCAAGAACGTAGCTCTAGCAATGAACCCAAGGGATCTCTGTAAAAATTGCAATTGTGAACTGAATGATGCGTCCGTAAAACGAACCCACAACTTTCAGAGTAAGAAGGAAACAGCTTAACCACACAAGCAGTAAGTCAGCGTAAAGAACCCTTTTCATGCCATTGTTGCACTGGGTATATGATGCTAGATCCATATATTTTTGGGCTGCCTTTATTTCCCACAACTTTTCCTAGTGCCTGTTGGGATCGACTTCGGCAAATTATAAAAAAAACTGCATTGATGCGGATTAGAACAGAAGGGCTTTGGTCAGATAATCAGTTGCTTGGCCATGCGTCACCGCTAGCAATGCCTTATTCATCTGCAATGTGGGCAGAGCTATGGACACAGCTGAAATAATCAGAGATGTGCGAACAGACTACGGACGATGATGAGTCTCAGATGCTAACTAGATTGCGTACCTAAGGAGCAAAGCATAGTGGCTCGTTTTCGAGAGACAATACAACCAACTTCATATGGAGAACAGTCAGTACAACTTTTCTGCATCGAAGGACTCAGCAGGTATGGAAATGCCCGCTGCACAATGAAGTCTTCTGGGATTATATGACGAAATAACATTACTCAGCAGCATGGGGAATTACCCCCCACCCCCTTTTGCACCCGATTACTGGGTAAACACGTTAATGTATCTGCGGTGAAGCGAGAAACCAAGAGTCTGCATACAAATAAGCCAGATATGTGAAACTCAAATCTGAAGTTCTAGAACAAGAGTAATGTTTAAGAAGTTAACGAATAGCCACAACTTTCCGCCTGTTTACAGCCGGGAAGTGCCAAGAAGAATAGGAAGAACAGTTAACAGCTTACAGAAAACAATAATGTGAAACAGTGTATGGAACAGTGAGAAAGACAGGAAGGGTGAGGAACAGATAGCACTGCGTGGTATTATTTCTTCTTCTTCTTCTTCGCGTTCACCAGCTGTACACTCTGGCGGAAAGTTCTGGTTGCTCATCCACTACTGAACTGCAGTCCTGCTCCAGAACCTGAGTGTTGCTTGTGCATCAGTTTTCAGATCTCATTCTCTTGAATATATAGACTGTTGGTTCCTTGCCTCTCTGGCAGATGCACTCTGACTTCAAAGGAAGCTCCCCAATTAAACGACTCTTACAACATGCTTTTGGGGAGGCAGTGGGTCTATTCTTGTTTTCCCCACAATGGAGCCTCGGAACCCACACGGGGGGGGGGGGGGGGGGAGTATTATTTGATTTCTGTATGTGCTGACTAAGGCTCCATAGCCGTACGTTGAAGTTCTGTTTGTT